AGGCGGTTTTTCTGTGCCCCATGCTTCGGTATAAGCAACAGTGGTACTGTGTTGTTCGACGTGGTGATACGCCACCTGCCGCTTTTGATGTAAGTGTCCCGCTTCTCAGCCCAGTCGAGCCTGAATTTCTCCGGCATACGGGAAGGCCTCCAGGGGATCACCAATGCTTCATCGATGAGCGGGATTTTGTGGTTGATCTCTCTCAGGGGAGGTAGATCCATTTCTGCCATGGTATGACAGAGTGGCATTGCATATGCCTGTAATTCAGCACGCACCACCTCTAGGTTATCCTGTGTGACCTCTATGGCTTGAGAGGCTATCTGAGAGATAGTAGGGCCTTCCAACGGCAACCGAGCGTTACTTCCAATGACAACCCGTGCTGCATTGAAACCGACCGTGACTGAATGCTCATACATCCAATCGGTCCCTAATATGATTGGATAGTTTATGTTTGCGACGTCAAACGACCATTGTTCGTCAATGCCTTGGTACTGTAAACAAGCAGTTACCCGCCGGTTTATCTTCGAGCGGGACCCCTGTACCGCCAGCTGCAACGTAAGTGGGGGATCAAAGATTTCCTCCTTGAACTTAAGCTGATCAATCAGCGTAGTGCTCATGAATGTTCCTAATGATCCCGAGTCCAACAGTGCGCTGACTGGGTGGTTATCAATCCTCACAACAATGACGATCGGTCGAGCCACCTTGCGGCCTGGATCTTTCACCCAAGCTGCATTTCTCTGCAATCCGGGGTACTTGTCAGCGGCGATTTGTACGCCATTCAGCTCGACTTCGTTGTGATGCGGCAGTGATCTCTGCAGGATTTCGTTTGGGCTTAGCGGCTGATGGTAACTCGCCCTCCAAGGCTCTGGTACGTCAAACAGATTACCAAACATCGTTCTTGCTTCCCACCTCTCCCAACAGAGACAGACCCGCAACAAGTTACCTATCCGCTTACAGCACCACCTGTAAACGTCGAATCGCGGCTCGTTTAGCAGCGCTGTGCTCAAAGGCCAATGTATGTTATACATTCCGTCTTCAACAATATATTCTGTGTTGCTGCATCCCGATAAGAACACACGAAATCGAATGCCTCCGACCTGGTGTGTGCTACGTTTTGGATGAAATTCTGGTAAGTCATCACCCGGGTAGTTTGCAGCCGCGTTCAGTATTTGTGAGACCCTCGTAGCACGAGCATCCCCCATAGGTTGTGAAGGATTATGTCTTCCCGCGCCAGAGTTTCCACTCTGCCTGGCAAACCAGGAGCACGGTTCAAAGTCTGGGTTGACTAGGAACTGCGTCAGGATTTGGTGTTCCTTCCCCTCACCCGCTGAGTCAATGAGGAGATGAGTTTGGTTCGAAATGCGGTAAGCTACAAATCGTTCCAGACTTCTAATCTCTATACTGTTGACGGGTTCCCCAGGGAATGGAGCATGCTGCGTTAATATGTATTCCAAATGCTCAGCCAAAGGGTCGCCAAAACAACGTTGAACCGGATCATTTTGGAACCCAAAGTGTGCATAGTCTAGATGATTATGGAGACCCCGACCAACAACCTGCTCGACTTTTAGGTTCCTGGAGTCTTTTGGCTATGCAAAAACGGATGCAGCTCCCTCAGAATCACACAAATACTTTAGGACCGGTCTGGCATATGTATGTCGAATTTCTAGGAGTTCGAGCTTGGAATCATCCCATTCCGAGTCCGCAGCGTCTCTCACACCGCCATCTGCTAGTGTCCCGGGGTTATCATCATCAGAACACTCGCATTCTGAGTCCCTTTCATCATAGCTTGAGCATCTGCTTCCGGTGTCTGTTACATCTCCGGCTGAATTCCAGTCATTGGGCGCCGTGCGGTCACACAAGCAGTCATATGAGCTATCTGATTCATCATATAAGGACAATCTACAGCTGTGGACACTCTCTGCATCCGAATAGTACATCTGTTCAACATCATCAAACCAGTCGAAATCAGTCGCATTTAGCGAAAACTCCAAGATATTTCCTCGATTGGCCACTTCGGGTAATTCAAACTCCATGTTGTGAGTGGTCAGCCCCGGAGGTCCCCCTGCCCTCTTGTTGTCAGACCAAAGGGTATTCCGCCTTGGGCAATCGCGGGAACGGTGGCCAGCTTCACCACAGTCGAAGCACTTCCCTGCCGCCCGGTACTCATTTTTCTGCTGTTCTGATAACTGAGTCCGCGGCGTGCGTTCACAATAACCAGGTTTAGGTTGGCCTGTATGGTTCTTTTTATCCCTCGAGCTTTCCGGGATGCTTGGCATGCTTGTGCTTGCAACACCTTCATGCGTTCCTTTATCAATCCTTGGAGTGCTATATCACGCTCCGGGTGTATTTTTCCCGGTGTTTTTGCCATATGATTTACTGCCCAATTCGGATCGATGGAAGTCGACTGAGGTAGGCTTGCCCACACCCTCGATGAGCTCCACTTTCTCAGCATCCGCAACTAGATCCTCAAGCGAACTGGTCTCTGGGGTATGTCCCATGCGGAGCAAGCCCTTCGTCATAAAAGGTTCGAAACTATCCCACAGGAATATCACCTTATGACGCTCATCAAGTGTTCCAGCTGTGTTACACAGATCATTGAAGATCCCAACATGGTCACGAACGCATCGGCCTCGTTGCTGCAAGTTTACCAGCTTCCGGCGTTGTTCCGTTCGAAAGTCAATAGGAAACGCGAAATCGTAGAGCCTTTCATAGAATTTCTTGAGAGTCCAACCGCGTGAGCTCTCGCCACACGTTCACTCGAAGAAAGTATATGCCTTCCCTTTCAAGAACTGGGATGCCACTTCGATTTGTCGGTATTCTGGGACTTGACCGTACTCCAGATAAGCAAGGATTTCCCTCATGTTCCTCTGAAATGAACAAAGACTTGCCGTGCCGTCATAGATCTCCGTTGGCTTCAGAGGTTTGATTCTCATCCCCTTCGCATTTGGAGTGGCTTCAACTTCCTCCGAAGTGTCCTCCTCACTGGGGACCATCATTGGATCGTCATTCCCCCTCTTCATGGCTTTCATTTGATTGAAGAGTTTTCCTACGTGGCTGGTCTGCGCAATCAACTCTGAAGGGCGGCTGGGAAGCCTGCGGGCACTGCTGTCAACATTACTCAACAACCTCGACCGCTTTGAGTCGGACTCCCTGGCGTTAAGACCATTCGGGTGTTTGAGAACCTCCGCCTCTGTTGAATCCATCATCCCTCGGGTGAAGCATGCTCTTTTCAATTCGTTAATCTTGGCTAGATACTTTTCCTCAATTCGCTGTGTCTCCTGACGTTGCCACGTCTGGAACTCCGCGAACATATGTTGTAGAGACTGAAAGAGTGTAGGGAGAAGAACAATCCTGTAATGTGCTCCTTCCATTGAGAGCACAGCAGCTTCACGGTCTAGGCCTACGTAAAGATGGTTGAGGCAGGAGAGCGCCTTAGATCGAGAAAGACAGCTTTGACAGGCTGTAACAGGCATAAGCGGAAGTTCACGGAAAATTAATCGGCATTCGCCGAACCTTGTAATTATTTCACCTATCTCTCGAACGTCGCCGTCACATTTTTCTTCTCCAAGTTCGTACTGTAAATCTATATAATTGGAATGCTGGAACTGATCAGCACTTTTCTGTCAGGACATGGCATCCAAAACAGCCGCAGTGGTGGTTGTGAGTGTACCGCTTTTACACCGGGAACGACGCGAGAATATTCAGGAATAATATCGTTGTTATCAGGATTTCACCCGCATCTATACTTCTCTAGGTCTTGGAAAAGGTACGTCTGACATGAGCTCTTGAACTCAATGCACAGTGCTCTAATAAGAGAACAGAGACCATTGCTGCCCTACAGGCTTTCCGTAAGCGCCACGGTGAAGCTCAACGTGCACAAGTTACCTACTCAAGTCAGCCAACCACTGTCGATTTTGCCCATTACCGCTCCGTGCTGAAGAACAAAGCTATTGTGGATGAGGCTGAGAAGTTATCAAAGGACTTCAAGCCTGTCTCATATGACGTTAGCGAACACATTAAGGCAATTGAGGCTTTTGAGGTCAAGGCCGTACGTCTTCGTTGAATGTGGATTTTCTGGCTACGTTTCAAGTTAAAGGACCTTGCGTTCACGTTATAGGTTACTAAGGCGAAGGAAACAGAGGAGAAGATTGACGTGGAGTTGAAGGATCTCCAGGCAACTCTAAAGAACATTGAGGAGGCACGTCCTTTCCAGGACCTTACGGTAAGTATCAAATTTAGATATTAGCCCTCACTCATGTCCGTCCCACACTTTTTCAGGTCATGGACATTGGGGAAGCTCACCCACGTATAATCGAAACCGTCGAGACGATGATGAAGAAGGGCAAATGGAGTGTACCTGGTCGGTCCTTTGTTTATCCTTTTTCATTGACAACACTCATTCTTGGATCCAGGCTACAAGGAGAAATTCGGTGACCTCAACCTCATGTAATCGACACTCACTTAGATACCTTTACATGAAAATGCATTCCCTTTAAACATTCCTGTAATTTAACGTGCGCGAGTCGCTCGTTATTTTGACATCCTTGGTGCATTTTAGTAACACAGTCAACGTTGGATCGCTTCGTTTTGGAGACTTGCTGCGCTTTCTGTCTCAGATCCCCTCTGAACGTTTCCATCTCAGCGATTTGTACAAGAGGATACGCAGATGCCTTGCAGATGCCTGGATCTATCACAGAATGTCAGCGCAGCAGAACGATTTCACATTGTCAGTCCTCCCTCTGGCATCGGGCTACCTCCCTTTGAAAATCTAAGTTTTTGAAGTTTTCTTTACATGATTTGCAAATCATGTAGGCTGATCCGTGATGGGGAGTTCAAGCTGATGATTCTAGAGGATATATCTTCAGATCCCAGATGCGCATTTGTGGATACTGTATGTAGACATTGCGCGACAAAGCAACCTAGTTCTTTCAGAACAGCGCTGCAAAACCAGTTGAGAATTTTGAACGTCCTATAACATTTTTGGAAAACCCTATTTTGTCGGTTCGGTGGTGTAGTGGTTATCACGTCTGTCTCACACCAGTGAGGTGTACACAGGAGGTCCCCGGTTCGAGACCGGGTCGAACCAATTTACCTAATATTTTTAGCTAGGCCTGTCGTTGGTGAATATTCGTTCCTCTTACCCAGCTTATTTTTTTTGTTTATCTTCTAATTCCACGAACACACACAAGTTGCGCTTGCACGAGAGTTGTGGCCTGCGGCGCAGCGTAGTAACCATGATGTCACAGGCACTACAATATATACTTGCCACCTCCTAAAGTGGCTCTTTTCCGGCGCGGCGCTTCCATCTCCAAAAAATTATTTGGTCGTTGCTCTCTCAGAATTGACTGCATCTGTGTTGGTTGTCTAGCTGTTCATATAGCTAGCTTGCTCTGCTCCTTAAAAGCTAGAGAGAGAATCAAATATATTGAGAGAGTTCTCCTCGAGAACCTTGGCTGTGGAGTTCCGGTAAGTAAAATTAATTCTTGGGGTTCGCTTCTGAAGTGCTCCAACAACATTTGACTGATTGTTGATTGATTGAATGGGGGGCGACCGCGATGTATATAGGACTTACTGGGAGTCGATAACAAGGCAACCTAAGAAACCGGATAGATTTCGGAACAGCGACAAGCTGGATTGGGAAGGCATTCAGGCAAGAGAAAATCACAGGGTCAGCGGAGAATCAACAACATATGGCTGGGAGTAATTCGGGCTCGAACTCTTCTCCTACATCGGTGACTGCTGCGGGCAAGAGACCAGAAATCGCCACCAACGACTTTAACAACCAGTCCCACTTGGCTTCTAATTCTCACAATCCCCGTAACTTCCTTTCTACGTCCTCCCTAGGCGATCACGACCACGACGTTGCCTCACCACCATACAGGCCAGAAGCTAGCACTTCCAGTCTAACTGGCCAAGACTTGTTCTTGAATCCCAATCATCCGTACTCAAATTATCCTCCAAGTCCGGCGTATAAATCTCAGGCAAACATGTCAGATGAAGTTCATCTCGAGGGTGACCAGTACGCGACTGAGGACACTAAATGGGAGGGAGAGCTACGTGACACGAAACACAAAGTTCATTATCCCGAGTCGATTGACTTGGAGCCTGTTCCAGTTGTTTCGGGTGATGCCGTCTCTCCAGCCGCGAACAAGGCCCACCTTCGGTTGGAAGAAATACCTTCGAGAGATTTCAACCGCTCTGGTGCAAACAGTCCGGCTGACGCCATTTCGCTCGCTGGTACTGACGACGAAGAGGACCACAGCGACTATGATTGGAGTGGCGAAGATGATCTAGTCGACGAAGAAGCCAAGTTCGAACAGCAGATGGGTGTTAAATCCAAAAGAACAGGGTGGGGATTCAAAAAAATTATTACTTTACTCTTTTCCTCTCTCCTCGGCTCCACACTCGTTGCCGGTATCCTCGTCACACCCGGGATTCTAATTCACTTCTATTGGTACAACAACAATCCTACTTCTCATCGAAAATACGTTGAACAGAACGTTCAGGCATGGCTTTTCTGGGCTGCTGCCAACCTTCTCTTATCTTGGTATCTTGCTGTCATTGTCGATCTCGTTCCAACTCTTGCCACTTTCATAATCGCCGCTGCATGGGGCCATGTTTCCGAGCTATTCAAATCTCGCGTCGAACTGTACAACTCCGTCAAAAATACTTTTAAACCGGCCTTGTATGCGGCTAGTGCCTGGGCTAGTTGGGTTATCATCTTTGGACACATCTTCAACCTCTATGATACTGAGGCTTCCAGCCAGAGTCGGGCTACGTATACAGCCCGTCTCTATCAGGTGGTAGAATTTCTGTTCTTTTTTGTCTTGGTAATCTGCGCTCAGAAAATGCTTTCGCATGCAATTGCATTCGCGTTCCATCGGACGGCGTTCAAGGAACGTCTTGAGGATGTGCAGCGGACTTTGAAAGTCATCGAGCAGCTGCGTAATTATAGGCCCAAGCACGACCGCTTTGGCAGACAATCTAACAGATCTAGTGGTTGGGCATGGAGTACTCCGGTATTGGAAAAAGCAGGCTTTGGTTTCGGCAAAAGTACGCATCACAAGGGTTTTTCTTCGTCCCGTCAGTATTCGCATCGTACGGAAGACGACGGATACGGCGCTGATGCGGATAACGACTATGACGATAGGACTGTGGTAGGTACGTCGTCGAGGAAGTCCACTATGGGAAGCACGTTTGGATTCTCTAACAAGAACAAGAAGAACAAACGTCGTTCTGGTGTGTCCCCGTCTGGAGGTGGGGATCATGAACTAGGTGTATTCAATTCAATGACATCTCCTCATGGACGATCCCAAGATGCTCCTTCGCCAGATACCAGTCGTCCCATGACTCCCTCCACCTCGGCTCCATTCATATCAAACCAAGCAGTCTCTCCTGCAGCTATCTCCCCTTTGGAAACCAGCGGTCGCGTCACTCCACATCGTTATCCTCCGGGCTCAGGTATGAACACTGCCTCCCCACGTCCCTCACTCGACTCTAATCATGGAGCGGGAGAGACTCTCGCCGCGGCAGCCAAAGTCCTTAAATCCGCCGTGCTTCACGATGCGCGAAATATCGCTGGAGGTTCTGATCATGTTGCGAACGGTGGCGGCGGTGCGATAGGGCTGGGTCATGTCGGGTCGAGTTCCGAGGCCAAAAGACTCGCGAGGGCAATCTATCTTAAATTCCGGCCCATTGGACAAGGAAGGACGTATCTCCTGCCGTCAGATTTTTATCCAGCTTTTCCCGATACGACTACCGCCCAAGCTGCTTTTCGAGTTTTCGATAAAGATGATAATGGGGATCTGAGCCGCGCTGAAATCAAAACTACTTTACTCAAAGTGTACAAAGAACGTCGGTTCCTCGCTCGTTCTATGCGAGATGTTGGGATAGCGCTCAAGAGTTTGGATCAGATTCTGCTGTTTTTTGCACTGGTCATTATATTCTTCATCAGCTTGTCTGTGTTTGGGGTACAAATTGGAGACTCGCTGAGCAGTGTTTATACGTTAGGCATTGGCGCGAGTTTTATTTTCAAGACTAGTGCGAGTAGTGCTTTTGATGCGATCATGTTTTTATTTGTCACGCAGTGAGTGGGCATTCGTCGTCTTTGTTCGCTGCTCTCCAAGTTGATATATCTTCCAATCATCTACAACAGCCCATACGACACCGGTGACCGATGCTTCATAGACGACGAAATTCTCGTCGTCAAAAAGATGGGTCTGTTCGCCACAGTATTTGGACGAGTGGATGGGACGGAGACGTATTATTTCAACAGCCAGCTTTTTACCAAGTTTATGTGAGTTTTTTTTCTACGGTTCATTCTTCATAATTGGTCGTAACCGTTGTTCGTTCTCATCGTAGCACCAATGTTCGCCGATCCGGCCAAATGTATGAAAACGTTACTCTTCAACTTCACTGGCGGACGCCCATTGTCAAACTTGACGCTCTTGAAAAATCTTTGAATAATTGGTTGCAGACAGAGCAAAATCGTTGGTTTGTACCTAGTACAGCGATAATGCTGCAAAGTATCAATTTCCAGAGATACTTAGAAGTCACAATCGGGATTGGGCACAATGGGTGAGTATACCTGCTCTAACAGAAATTTCTTCTCGAACACTTCCTAACTACATTCATTACTCACAGAACTTGGCAAGATTGGGGCCTTCGATGTGCCCGCAAAACCGCCTTCCACGCCGCCGTTCAACATTACACTCGTCAACTCGGTATCGTTTGCTACGAGTCAACGCAGCCTGTTGTCTATACCAATTCACCTGATACTCCTGCCATTCACGTGTTCACCGACGGTACGATGCCTCCGCCTTCACCTGGAGGTTATGGTGGATGGTCTGGGTCTGGCTATGAGGTAGAAACAGGTCCAGATGGAGGCATGGACATCGTTTATGGTGATAGCTCTGGTGGTGGCGCTGAACCTACTACGAACTCTCTCTCACCCGCGGCAGCGGCAGCTCTAGGGGCAGGCGAAAAAGAAAGCGGGCTGAAGACCGCGCTCGGGTTCACGCCTCCTGAAGGTTTGGTAGGCTCGCATTTGAGGGCAAGGAAGACGAAGAGTAGGAAGGTTATGGTTGGATTGGCTGGAGATGGATGATTAATGATGACAATCGGTACGTAACGGGGAATAGGCACCATTGCTTCAAGTTTCTTCCCTCATTGCCTACACGACGTCAGACTTCGAGTCAAACCTTGAAATTGAAGTCGAAACGAAAACGAAAACGAAATGAGTTTCCATCTATAAACAGATCAGAATATTAGCTCGTCACTGTTGCATGGACACCGTCGCATTTGCATACTCATATATATAGATTACTCAACCTTCTCCAATTGTCTGCTAGAAAAATAGTCATGCATCTCTTCCAAGGAAGAATTCAATATTGATAGCTAAATGAAGGCTAAGAAATGGAAATGGTGAGCATGTTCAGTATGTCTCGCATGTTTAGTATGTCTCGAGAAGGACCAATCTTATAAATCGGGCTCCTGCCCTGGCAGAGTCCCACCAACCGTATACTAATTAATCAAGACGAATTCAAACTTAACTGAGTCCGAGCAGAAGATAGGAAGATGAGTACATAGGATCCAATAAGTAAGTCCATTGTTACACTGCTGCTAATTACACTGAAGCTGGGAGCGACAGTCAAGCAGGTGAATAACGGAGTTTTGCAAAGGATATGTTGCATACTAATGTTTACAGTATCTTGCAGAACATAAGGCGCGGCAGAAATTTTTCGATGGCAATCAATCTTCCGGCCAATCTTCCGGCCCCAATCTTCCAGCACGCTTACAGCTCTCAGTTTTCAGTATCTCTCACATAT